GGGGGGGGCGGGGGGGAACGCCTTCGACTCTTTGCGGGCCTTTGGCTGTCCCGCGTATCCGACACCTGGGTGCGGGGGTTGATGTCTTCAGGCTCCAAGATTGAGTTTCTGTTGCGCCCGGGGGACAGGTTGTTTTTCCAACACACGCCGGCCTCGGGAGCGGCTTGCGGCCCTTCACAGCGTGGTGGTGGACCTCTTGTTTCAGGGGGTGATTGTTCCGGTGCCCGCCTTGGAGTGGTTCAGATGGGTTATTCCAACCTGTTTGCCTGTTCCGAAGACGGGGGGGATTTTCCCCATCCTGGGCCTCAAGTGCCTAAACACCGTTTGTGCGGGTGCGCAGGCTCTGGATGGAATCTGTCCGATTCGTGGTGGTGTGTCTTCGTCAGGGGTCTTTTCATGGCCTCCATCGACATCAAGGATGCCTACCTTCATATCCTCGTCTGTTCCTCACATCACCGCTTCCTTCGTATTGCTTGGGGGACGAACATTACCAGTTTTGTCGCTCTGCTTTTTTGGTCTGGCGACGGTGCCTCAGTTTTTCACCAGGGTTTTGGCTCCCGATTCCGGCTTTGTCGGGGGATCTCGATTGTGGGGGATCTGGATGATCTGTTGAGGGCGGAGCCATATTCTTCTCTGGTGGCAGACCTTGCGGTCGCCGTGCGGTCATTGGTGGAGTTCGGCTGGCTCCTGAACTAGCAAACGTCTTGTCTGGCAACGTCCACTCATCTTTGGTATCTGGGCCTGGTTCTGGACTCCGTCCTTACACAAGCTTTCTGCCCGCGGGGAACCTCCTCAAGCTTCGCCCACATACAAGGTTGTTGTGGTCACGCCGGTGCTCGACGATCCGGTCTTGCATGCAGGTTCTGGTTCTCATGGTGGCCTCCTTCGAGGCGGTGTCTTCCACGCTGCACCATGCCAGGATGCTGCTGGGGGGACTTCTTGTCGCAATAGGACAAGTCTCCCTTGTCACTGGACAGGGCGGTACGGCTTACATAAACCATCCCGGCTCGGGATGGGGCAGGTGGTATCTCCTGGGCAGGGGAGCATGTTCTCCGTCGTGTACGTTCCGGTGGTGGAGAATTGGCAGGCCAACTATCTCAGTCACCAAACGGTGGATCCGGGGAGTGGCCCTTGCATCCGGGAGTGTTTCATCAACTCTACCTTAGGTGGGGGACTCCGGATGTGGGTCTCCTGGGATCTCGTCTCAATCAGCAAGTCGATCGGTCCAATACCCGGACTCGGGATTCTGGGGCGGATGCAGTGCATGCCCTGGTGGCTCCATGAGACCATTATGGTCTGCTTTCCGCGTCTCTCCGATGTACCGTTTACCGCGTCTTCTACGCAGAATCGCGGCCGAGCACATTCCCGTCATCCCTGTGGCTCCAGATTGGCCACGAAGGGTGGGGTAAGCGGAGGTTGTCTGGTTGGTAGCGGACGTTCCCTGGCGGCTGCCGATTCGTCCGGATCTTCTTTCTCGGGGTTCGGTGTGCCGTCCGTCTCTACAGTTGCTGGCTTGACGGCCCGGTTTTGAAGGGATCCTTCGGTAGCTCAGTTGGTAGAGCGGAGGACTGTAGTGGACTTACCAAGCTGTAATCCTTTGGGACTGAGGTCGGTCGGCTGCGGTTATCTCTTCGATGCTGAGAGTCCGCGGGCCTTGTCTCGGAGGATCTATCACCCTCCCTGAAGGGCTTATTTTGCCGGGTGTGAGTCATGTGTTTTTCTGCCTCGTTTGTTCTCGGTGACCAGGGTTTTGGTCTTTTTGCACCGTGAGGTAGATCACGGCTGGCCTTAAGTGCGGTGCAGTCCCAGGTTTCGGGCCTGGACAGTTCTTTCCGGACGCCCATCGCGTCCTCCGCTTTGGTTCGCACCTTCGTACGGGGGTTACGCAGATTGCTCCTCCTGGTCGATCCCCATTACCGCCTTGGGATCTGAACCTGGTTCTCTCGTTTTTGCGGGTATCTCCTAATTGGACCTTTTGCGGGAACTTCCGCTTCTGCCCTTGTCTCAA